ATCACATAGTTATAATAATGTAAAATAAATAGTTTATTCATTGTTAAAGATTTTGATATTCCAAGCAAATATATTTTCAATTATATTTAATAATGCTTTTTGTTTAAGTACTCTGTTACATATCATTCAATTAATGAATATACTAGTTAACATAAACATTAATAAATGTTGAATAATAATTATCGTTTTATATATAAATGTAATTAAATCGAGTGTTATTTTTGAACATTTCAATTGAATAACAATTTGTCTTTAAATCTCATCGATTTTATGAAAAGTTATGTTGATATATTTACCAAAAAAGTAAATGATCGTTTTTTGTTTTTCATCTTATGTAAAAGCAAAAAAAAATATTCAACAAAACATTAAGAAAAACATCTTTCGTGAAATATTTTAGAAATTTGATGCTTTCTGACCAATGTTATTTTTTTTTAAAAAAATATATTATATTTTTAATTTATTTAATTATTAAAGAACATAATCATAACAATTAGTAGATGTGTATTTTTGTTTGTTAATTATTATTTTTGGTTGTTCTTATAATTTTAAATATTTTTTGTCTACAAAATCTAACCTTATTATTAAATATGTATAAAATTATAAACTACAAATATATCAATAAACTGTCATTAATATATTGATTGGTCGTTTTCTTGTTATTTTTTAATTATTAGATCAATGGATCACCGATTAATAAAAACACACAAAAATAAGTATTTTTATTTAAAAAATATTTTTAAAAATCTATTCAAAAACAGATTATTCTTTTTTAATACTGTTTCTTTTATTTATTAACTAAAAAAACAATGCTTTATATGTATATTGAATTACTCTTATTTGTTGTAACACACACACTTTCTTTGCAATGGTGCCAAAATGGAAATACAATTGAATACTATTCAACAACTTCAAAAGAATGCGACACTACAGACTTCGTTTATCAAAACTTAACGCTTCAAGTAAAAAATTCTAATATTCAGTACATTAATTGCACTTTACTAAAATATGTAGAAATAAACCTTGTCAAACAGAGAAAAGCAATGACTATCTTTTTAAACTATAAAAATTTTAACTTGAAATATATTGACAACAAATACAACAATGCGGCATTCAACACATCCAACGATATTGATTATAATAATAATATAAGAAATAAGATGCATGAAAGAAAAAACTATATAAATTGTAACGGCTTGAATGTCATTAATTGTTTGGAATGTATGACAGATTATATAGGTTGTGCTTTGTGTGAACAAGGTTACACTTTGGTTTATGGAATGATTAATGCTTTGAAAGAATATATATGCACAAATTTAACATTTTCAGAATATATTCAAATGGGATACAATAAATGGTGGAATGAAAATTGGAGATATAATGAATCAACAGGAAAATGTTGTGCTATCAACTGCAGTTCAAATACATGTTCCACTTCTTTTACTGTATCATGTGCTACTTGTGCATCACCTTATCAATTGGTTGGCTACTCGTGTTATTACAACGGGTGTACTGTTCTAAATTGTGAGACGTGTTATAGTTCAAGTGTTTGTACCACCTGTAAAAGTGGATACACTTTTAAAAATTCATCTTATTGCGAAAAAAATCCCATTATCATTTCAAATTGTACAGCATACAGCGGATCTTCGTGTACAAAATGTGAATCGAATTATTACTTATTAAACAGCACATTTTGCCAACTTTGTGACACAACTTGTGGTAGTTCGTGTTCTGATTCGACTCGATATTGTTCAAGTTGTTCAAGTGAGTTAGTATACACAAATCCAAAATCAACACAATGTGAAGTGTGTTCTAATTTTGATTCAAAGTGTGTCGAATGTCTGACTCCAAATAGACAGTGTCGGGTATGTACAAATGGATACTACCCATCAAGTACCAATTCTAATTGTATTTCTTGCGATTCAACGTGTGCATCGACAGGGTGCAACACACAGACAGGCGCATGCGGCACTTGTGTAAGCAATCAATATACAATAATATCTGAAACTAGTGTCACGTGTCAGACATGTTCTTCTTTTGACTCAAATTGTGTAGAGTGTTCAACCATCTCAAGAAAATGCACCAAATGCACAAGTGGGATGTACCCATCAACAACATCTCCATTTACGTGTGTAAGTTGTGACTCAACGTGTTCGAATGGATGCAACACACAGACGGGATATTGTGAGACGTGTTCATCACAATACACCCCCGCTATAACACAGCCTTCAAAATTCTGTTCTTCTTGCAATTCAATAGACCCAAATTGCAACACATGTTCATCAACAGAGAGAAAATGTTTAAGTTGTGCATCTCCGTATTTTGTTGGGAATAGTGGGGCAAACTGTGTACAATGTGATTCTTCTTGTTCTTCGTGTGATGCAAATGGGTATTGCACCTCATGCGCTTCAAATTATGTGATGTATGACACACAAAACACAAAGTGCAAAAGTTGCACAGACTTCGATTCAAACTGTGAGACTTGTCCAGGTGGAAACGAGAAGAAATGCACAACTTGCAAAACGACAAACACATACCCGTCACTGGATACCGGGAAGTGCATTTCGTGTTCAACTACATGTGGTGGAAGTTGTAACCAAACAGATGGGCATTGCACTTCGTGTGAGAGTGGTTTGGTATTTACAAGTCCGCCATCAATAGTGTGTGAAGTTTGCAAAAACTTTGATTCTCATTGTGTCACTTGTGCTGATAATGGTGTCAGATCGTGTCTAATGTGTTCAAGTGGGTATTACCCATGATATGGCATGTGTGTAGAATGTTCAGCAACGTGTCAACAAAATGAGTGTAATACAGCAAATGGACTATGCACAAAATGTATTGATAACTACGTTGTGACTTCGCCAATTTCAACAAATTGTGAAAGTTGCAGTGCTTATGACCAAAATTGCGTGACTTGTGCAACAGACTCCACAAGAAAGTGTGTTTCCTGCAAACCAAATTATTACATCAAGACGAGTGGCGATTACAAATGCCAAAGCTGCTCATCGACGTGTGGGGGCGCCTGCGATGGTAGCAATGGAATATGCACAACGTGTTCAAGTGGGATGGTGCCAACCAATCCACCTTCAACAGTGTGTATTTCGTGCCAGGCATTTGATGTTAATTGTGAGAGTTGTGTGACTGGTGAGCGGAAGTGCGCGAAGTGTTCAACACTAAACATGTATCCAGACGACACGTCACACACTTGTGTATCATGTTCAACGACGTGTGGAGGGAGTTGTGATGCTACAAATGGGATATGCACAGCATGTCAAGATAACTACGTTTTCCAATCAACCAAATCACGTGTTTGCGAATCATGTTCAACTTTTGATGCACACTGCGCTAAATGCTCGTCTGCATTCGACAGAAAATGTGTGATGTGTAACACAGGATATTACCCAGATGAAATCGGTGTATGCGTTCAATGTAGCACAATAAACACAAATTGCACGAGTTGCAGTCAAACAGTTAAAAAGTGCCTGGCGTGCAAAGATCCACAGTATGTAGCTTTAAGTGGGCTTTGTTCAAATTGTGAAGTTGGCACTTACAAAAAGACTGACATGACTTGTGAAAGTTGTTATTTTGCAACTGAGAACTGCAATGTGTGTTCCACCCTTACTGTTGCTGTTTCCAATTGTACCTCTTGTATGACCAACTATGTATTGAATGGCGGGAAGTGTCAGTCGTGTCCAAGTGGGAAGTATTACAATCCAAATTCAAAGAGCTGCCAAAGTAATGATGTGAACTGCCAAATTCAAGTCGACGAGTCAACTTGTCTTCTATGCAACAGCAACTACTTTTTGGCGAATGGAATTTGCCAACAAACAACACGATGTCACAGTCCGTCTAACATCACAATGTTTTCATGTGACTGTTATGATCAGATCTCAGTCAACTCCGATTGTCAAGACAAAATGGTAAATTGCAAATATCAGAAAGTTGAAAAGAATAATTACATTTGTATTAATTGCAACAACAATTTCACTTTGAATGGAAATGAATGTCAAAGTTCACAACAAAATATGGAAATTAGAAATGGTATTACTTACAATTGTGGAGTTGGTGATTATCTCAACATATCTAACGAATGTGTCAATTGTGGTGTTTCTGTTTCGGTTTGCCAATTATCAAGAACTAAAGTTATGCCATTAAAGTGTTATACTGATTATGTGTTTGACACAACTTCAAACCAATGTGTTACAGATGAAAATTGCCAAACAGCAAAATATGGATTTTGCACCAAATGTGCTTCTGATTTAAATTACGCATCACAAGGAAGGTGCTTACAATGTCAAACAAACAATTGTGGTCTTTGTGACAGTAATTGTTGTCTCAAATGTTTGGATGGATTTGTAAGATACACCGACACTTGGTGTATATCAAAGAGTGAAATATCAACATGCAAAACATTTAGCTCAAGTGGGTGTGTTGTTTGCAATGAGGGGTATTACCAGACAGACGCAAAGAATGTAGAGAACAAGTATGACTACTGTGTTCCAATAGAATCCACAACAGTAACAAATTGCAAGAGATATAATGCAAAGAACAATAAATGTGTTGAGTGTCTTGATGCCTTCAAACTGAAAAGTGGGATTTGTGCTGAATCATTTGATGAAGACGACAAACTTAAAACAAGTAGTAAAACTGCAACAGAAACAACTTGTTTAATTCGAAATAACAAAGGATGCCAACACTGCGCTGATGGTTATTACAACATCAACAACGAATGCCTTCAATGTGAAAACGACTGTCTATTTTGTTACAACACGACTTATTGCACAACGTGTAGATCGGGATTTTATTTGAGTGCTGACATGTCATGTAAGTCACTTGGTGCGTTACAAGAGAGTTGTGACATTGCCCTACCCGGTGGAGGTGGATGTGCAATCTGTAACATTGGGTATTATCGAGAGGGCATCAGCTGTACACCATGTGACGAGTCGTGTGCACTTTGTGTGAACAGTAATGAATGTCTTGCTTGCAAAGACGGCTATTTCAACATCCCAAGTGAAGGCAAATTATGTCAACCAAATACAACACTTTCAAATTGTGAATTTTCATCGTCCTCTGGCTGTGAGAGGTGTATGTCTGGTCATTACTTATCGAATTACAAGTGTTATAAATGTTCTTCAAATTGTATATCATGTGATACTGAAAGTGTGTGCACTAAATGTGATGAGAAAGAATATGTTCTCGTTAATTTGCAATGTCTTCATTTCACAAAAGTAGAACATTGTGTTTCAGCGCAAAAATCAAAGTGTGTTAAATGTGAAGGTCGACGAGAACCGACAGATTCTGGTGACAATTGCACAGATTCTGTTAATTATGGTGTTGTCATAGGTATTCCAATCACAGTTGTAGTACTATTGATATTAACAGTCACTTTATTAATAGTTATTCTATTTTATATACTTCAGCGATATAGTCGCAAACAACAAATGCAGAATGTCTGTGTTTTCGATATAAAAAGTTCTAATTTGACGATGGAAAAAATGAATGAAGTTTTGTGTTCCAACAAAAATGTTTTACGCTTTGATATTGATAGTGATGAAGTTATTAAAGTAGACACCGAGACTCGTGACTTGATATGTATTGGAAACACTTCAAAACATAGTTTGAAGGTTCAATTTAGTGTAATTGAAGGGTGTGATTGTTACCAAATAGGTACATTGCCTTCTATCGTGACACTGAAACAAGGCAAAGCCTGTGAATTTGAGTTATTTATAAAGCCGTTATGTTCATGTCAAATTAAAGAGAATATTATGGTGATTGCTCTTGACATTGTAACAGGAACTGTTTTGAGTAACAAATTACAAATTGAAGTCGACACTGAACAATCAACTAAATTAAATTACAGAGAACTCGAAGAAACGAAGCAAATAGGCGAAGGATCTTTTGGTATTGTGTACAAAGGAAATTATAGAGGAAATGTTGTTGCTATTAAAAAAATGAAACAAAGTGATAATAAAGAAGAAACCATTTCTGAATTTAGAAATGAAGTCGACATGTTAGACAAATTCCGGAATGAGTATATCGTACACTTTTTTGGAGCCGTTTTAATACCAAACAAGATTTGTATGGTCACCAAATTTGCACAATATGGAAGTTTACAGGATTTGATTAATAAGAAAAAATCCATAGAAGTTGAAATGCATTTACGAATAAAATTCATTTTAGATGCTTCAAAGGGAATTCTTTATTTACATGAAAATGGGATATTACACAGAGATATCAAACCAGATAACATTCTTGTTATTTCACTTAATTTAAACGAAAAAGTGAATGCTAAATTGACTGATTTTGGAAGTGCCAGAAATATCAATATGTTGATGACTAACATGACATTCACCAAAGGTATTGGTACACCAGTGTATATGGCACCAGAAATACTTAAGAAGGAAAAGTACAAAAAATCTGCTGATGTTTTCTCACTTGGTATTACTATGTTCGAGTGTTTTGGGTGGTGTCAGGCATATCCAAAAACACAATTCAAATTTCCATGGACAATTGCAGAATTTGTAATCGAAGGAAAACGTCTTGATAAAAAGGAGAGTATGAGTGATAACTCTTATGAAATTATTCAAAGATGTTGGGAACATGAACAATCAAAAAGATTGAATATTGAAGATTTGGTATCGAATCTATCAAAACTAGTGTTAAAAGGTTGAATAAACAATATTAACATCGATAAATTATCGACTTTCTTAACATTATTGTTGTTTATTTTTATTTTAAAATAAATATGACCAAATGATATGTTTTAAACTTTTTATTTAAATGTTTTTTATAATAAAAAAATAATAATTAAAATGATTACAAATATTTTGTTAAAACATTTGAAAATAAATATATATTAACTTTATTGTTGATTTCAAAATAATTAATTTACATTATAATTACCATTATTACACGCTGGATTTACACAATCATTTCAACTTCTTCGTCAAGATTGCATATTCCTGACATAGTTTTATTTTTATATGTAATGACTAAATTAGTAAAATTAAAAAGAAAATTTAATAAATATATATATAATTTGTAAAATTTGGTTAAATAAACAAAAATCAATTTATTGTATTTATTAGTAATAAATTAATTGGTATATCATTAAATCGTATTATAGTTTTTATCTATTATAATAAAAATGATACATTAACAAGGGAAATTGTAATCAAAGAAACATTTTATTTTAAGTACAATATGATTTGTTAAACTCTAAATAAACACTTTTAATTTATATTAAACGAAATATTAATGTTTTATAATATTTATTTAAATATATAATATAATTGACCAC